ATAGTAAATAATGTAGTTTAAAAAAATTGTTTCTAAGAGAAATTGTGATAAGATTTTAAGAAGTTTTGAATTGTATTTTGAGTTTATATAGCTAAGAATAGGGTTATAGTAAATTTTTCAGAATAGTAAAGAGTAGGTTTCTCCTTGTTCTATGCCTGAGTATAGTGTAATTGGATCAATAAGACTATAGACAGTAAATGTTCTGGGTTTTCTGTCTTGATAAAGGAATTTAATAAAATTTAAACCAGCCTAAAGGATACTAATCCATTTACAAACATCTGGCAACTGTTAAATATTAATTTTGTTAAAGTTCTTGGATATGTCTTGAAAGAGTATCTATGTCTCTTTGTTATTAGTTTTGTAATATTCGATTGTATTTAGTAATATTTGTATAAGAATATAAGTTGAGCTATTCTTAGTTGTTATAAAGTTTAAGTTATTTAATAAATAATGCTAAGTGATAATTTAATCAAAACAGGTTGTAAAAATTTTAGTAAAACATTTTTTATAAGCAAATAAATTTAATTAAACTACAAGATATTATTTTTAATATATTTATAATTCAAATTTTATTTTTATAAAAATTTATAAACTTTAATTTTTAACTAAAAAAATCTTTTGTGAATTTTTAATACAAATTATAATAAAGATAAAAACAAAACTTTATCTTAAAAAAGTATAATGATTTAGTAAAGTAGATAAGTTATTGATTTTTTAAATAATAGATTGTGAAAATTTAAAGAATTACTTATATAATATTTATATTATAACTATTTTTAATAATTGAATTAAGATATTTATAATTATAGTTATACTAACATAACTAATAAATTATAGAACATCTATATAACTAATTATATAAAAAAATACAAACTAGTATCAAATAATACAAATTCAAAATAAGTTATTATAATTATGTAAATTTGTAAAAATTAAAAAACAAAAAGTCTATTTAGCAAAAAGATAATACAAATTTTTAATAGTATAATTATAAAAACTAGACTTAAGAAACTGATACTAATATAAAGAAACTAAATAAATAAGAATCTTGAGTAAGAGATACTACCAACTAGACTACTAGAATCAAACTAAAGAAAAAAAATATTAGACTAATTTAATGTACTAATAAACAAGCTATAGTTCTACTAAACTATCTAAATTAGAAGTTTAAGAACAAAGTAGAAGTATATTAAAGTATTTTAAATATACTATAAAATAATACTAGGGTTTAGGTGAACACTGTAAAGATATAATAATTTAATATCTAACTCTGATTATAAGTATTAATTTGACTATAATAATACTAAATTAGTTATAAAATAGATATTATAAAATATTGAAAGATTTACTTCAAGAATAAATTAATCTTAAAATTAAGATGCTGATTTGAGCATAACTTAGTAAAGTTAATATAATTTACAGATTCAAAGAGGTTAAAATAGAACATCCAAACAGGTTATGTTAGGTATAGCAATTGGTAAGAAACCTTTGAATAGACTTCTTAAGTAGGTAAAATAAAAAAGGTATATATATAACCAATTGTATACTCTTCTTATAGTAGTTCTATATAGAACTACATTATCAAAAATATTAATAAAAATCAAACAACCCAAAAGGTCATCTTAAAAAAAAAACTTTCATCTTAAAAAAAAAACAATCTTCTAGATTAGCTTGATATAATATTTAAATCCAAATTTTAGTTTAATTAATATAACAAACTACTTATAAAAGTAGTTAAAAAATATTAAGTTATAAATATTAAGTTAAAATATATGGATATACAAAAATATTAATACAATTCATTAACAAAACTGCTGAAATTAAAAAAAGTAACATAAGGCTACATAATTTAATATGAATTTTTAAGCAGACCCAACCAGTAGCTTTTTTAAAAATTTCATATATGAACATTTTTTAAATCCCATCTGGTTATTAAAACATTTAAAAAATTTTTTTACAAATCTTCAAATTTTGACCTTGTTGGGTTATAAAAATCAATTAATTGATTTTGCATGGCCTAATACGTATTACTAGGTTTAATATAATTTTTTTAAAAACAATTACGTAGAATTATTCTAAATATGGGGGTTAGTCAATAGAAACGTACCAAATCTTTTTTAGTGAAACATTTTTGCAACTTTAAACAAAGGTAACTTGACAAGAAATTATTCAAATTTAATAAAAAATTTTTTAACCAAATTTTATAAGAATTTAGAATTAATTTAAAAAAAAATTTATTAAATATGGTTAAGTTCTTGCTGAGTTATTTAGGCTTAAAGTTTCAAAAAAATTTGGTGCGTTTCTATTGACTCACCCCCATATTAATAAAAAAAGTTCCAAATCTTACTACGTATTAAAGGTAATACAAGTTATTCTTATTAACTTATTTAAAAAAAAATATATAAAGACTATTTTGTTATTATTAATTTCTCATATATATTAACATAATTGTCTAATTCAAATAAGTTAATATTAACAAAAATAACCTGTACTAAAAAAAACACTAGTATCTGTAATAATATTAAACATCTATAATAAAACAGTGACAACAGTTTGACTTAAAATACAAATTAATATACAAGGTTGTACTAACAATAGCAACAGATTAACTTGAGATACATGGTAACAGATCCTGAACCATTATCAGAATACCTTAGAAAAACTAATAACAAACATACCAAATATAGAAGATTGTAAGAATCTATGCCTTGAATGTTATTAAGTTAAAAATTGGTATAAGTATAATGATAAAAGATATGAAGAATACAGATTAACTAAAATGATATAATGCTTAGAGTTAATGTAGATAACAGGTCCTAAACCTTCCTACTGACCAAAATGGTTTAATAGTAATGCTTTATAATGAGATGCCTTGATCGCAAGTGTTAGCCTAGGCTATAACATGCGAAATGGTACAGATAATTGGATCTGAGCACTCTAGAAGTAACTGGTTAATGTGTCAAGCCGGTTAGTTATGTTAAGTACTCCATTGTAATTACAAAAATGTAATTAGTTTGTATGTATTTAATCGAGAAATCTAATAAAAGGTTATCGGCAAGATCATTCAAGTTTAATATATATATATATGATATTTTAATTAAAATAATTATTTGTTATACAAATTTGCAATCAACAAATAAAAAATATATAAAATTAAAATTTTGAATACGTAGTTAAAACAATTAATAAATTTAATAAAATATTTTAAAACACCGAATATTATTTTATATAAATAATTTTTTTAATATTTAATATTTTAAATTTTGTTTTCGTTATCGTTACTATGCTAGAAAAAATCTTCTGACGCAGAATTTAATTAGAAAATCATATAAATATATTTTTTATATGGCTTAGATAACTATTCTGAAGACATCCTAAATCACTAGTAACAGTAAAGAACGTTAATAATTTTAATAAAGTGAGACAATGAATCTTCTCATTGCCACCGGTTTGGGACCGTGTATACAGTTTTATAATCAAGAACTTTTAAACAACCTTAGTATTATACTGGATGTCTATGAACATATAAGAGAAAATTAGTCAATCTAGCCTTCTAACTAAGTAAATAAATAAGAAGATGACCATTTAATCTGGTTTTTGAAGTCCTAAGTAAGCAATTATAAAATTTCCTGAAGAGATTCGAGTTTTACAAAATGTATTAGATAAATTAAAAATCATGTGACTAATATAAATAAATATTACAAGGCATTAGCGCATCTCCCATTAAAGTAATTCATACTCATTTTTAAAAGAAATCAACGAACACTACGTACGCTCAATCTCGTCATAACGGCATAGCACCCATTTTAGAAAGTTATATATGCACGTAGGGATATAAGTGAAAGAGGGGCATTACGAAAGGGGTATTACGACAAATTGACGTTAGTGATCCTGTGATCGATTTTACATTTGTTATAATGCGGTCCGTTAAAATATCTGGTGTGACAGATAATGTAGTCAATTTTTAAAATAATGTATATGTGCATAATGCTTAATTCATATGATTTTATTTATTATGTAAAAAATTGCATCACACTGGATATTTTTGTGAACGAAATGATTTTACTCTTAAAAATGATGTATGTATTCGATGTTTTCATCATTTTTGAATCCATTTTTTTGGAAGGACTGGTATGAAAATCGCAAACCGCATGCTTTCGGTCGTAGGATCACGACATATTCTCAATTCGTCATAATACACACAGTGCACAAAGACTACGATTTTTTAGACCGCCCTGAATAAGTTATAATATGGTAAGTTTTTAAACTCATAATTGCCAATTAAATTTTTTAAGAGTAATTTATTTATTTAACGTTAATACTTTTAATTTTTTTCATATTCCTTACACCCTTAAATTAGGATAATATTGGGATTTCGTGGACTAGAACGCATTATTGTCGATAAACATCACAGGTCATGTACTCTGCCGATTTATAACCACGTGAAGTAGCACATAAATTTATAAAGGAAATTTCTTATATTAAATTATTTTGACATATCTAGTAATACTGAATACTAATATGTGCTTACAAAACGGTTTTGGTGCAGGCGCATGCACGAATGTTATTCAGGATACCAATTTTCCATTTGTTTCTCTTCGGCGTACTTATACAACTAATTCCAAATTTTGTCCAATATAATCTCTTTACCAGCTTCTCTGTTACCTTATTTCGTGCGACCTTTTTGATGTAAAGAATGGTCACGGGATTCCGGTTTTTACTAGATATAAACTCGTTCCTATAAATATCACGTGTATAAAAAGATTATCATACTAAAATTGTATACGCGATTGTTTGTCAATGCATGTCATCCCGCAGAGTCGTACAACATATATGTGCAAATGACTTGTTGCTCGCATCTACAAATTTTATTTATCCATATATATAGTTATATTACAGTCAATATATAATCTTCAAATAGCCAGTCCCATTTTGAAAAAAAACGCACTTACTCACACACGTTTACACTCGATAAGCATTTTGGAGTTATTTGAAGTGAAATGGCATCCAGAAAATTTTTGGACGTTTTGATCCGAGACTATATGTCCGTTCTTAACAGTGGTGATTATGCTGACGTTATTCTCCGAATTGGTGATGATGAACACTTTAAAGAGTTTCGTGCACATTCTATTGTCTTGCGCACTCGGTCGCCTTATTTTCGAACTGCTCTTTCCGATAGATGGGCACAGAAACAAGATAATGTAATTATTTATGAGAAACCAAACATTTTGCCTGAGGCCTTTGAAGTTATTCTCAAGTAAGTAATCAATTTTCTTTATTCTATGAATTCCTATTATTAATACCATTTACCATTCTGATAATTTTTTATTTATTTTATTTTTTATTTTTTTTTAATGTTAGATATTTATATAGTGGAGTTCTTGAATTGAAATTACGTGATGTAAAAGTTGTTCTTAACATTCTTGTTGCTTGTAAAGAACTCTGTCTTCTTGACCTCTTCGATTATATGCAAGATTATCTTCTTAATAATATGTCAGAAGCAATGCAACAAAATTTTTCCCTTGTTCAACGTATTGTCTCACAGAATAATACCTTTTTAAAATTACAAAGATTTATCAAAAAGTTTATCGATCAAACTCCACATTTGGTTTTCAAAGCTGATGATTTTAACACTTTGGAACAACATATTTTGACTTCCCTTTTACAACGTGATGATCTTTTGATAGAAGAAATCGATGTATGGGATGCCGTTGTTCAATGGGGAATCGCTAATACCCCATCTTTACCATCAAGTAAGGATGATTGGACAAAGGATGATTATTTAAACTTGGGCACTACCCTTGAACCCTGTATTTCTCTCACCAAATTTGGACAAATCACATCTGAAGATTTTTTCCAAAAGGTCACACCTTATAAAGAGGCAATCGATCAAGAATTATATGGCGAAATTCTTAAATTTCATTCTAGTGCTGCTACAAAGTCTAAATCTACTATACCTTTGTCTCAACGTCGGGGTGTAGATTCAGTACTTATTGGCGTAAAGCATTTACATCTCTTTTCACGATGGATTGATAATAAACCTGATTCCATATATAGCAGAAATAATATTCCTTATGAGTTCAAATTGCTTCTTAGAGGTAGTCGAAATGGATTTACACCTCAAGAATTTCATGATTTATGCGATGAAAAAGGTCCAACTTTAGTAGTAGCAAAAATCAAAAACTCTAATGAAATAATTGGTGGGTTCAATCCTGTAAGTTGGGACTCTTCTGACGCACTATTAGAAGTAAAAAATAGTTTTGTTTTTAGTTTGGATGAGAATTTAGATGATTCGATTCTTAGTAGATCCGTTGGTACCATCTCTTCAATTTGTAATTCACCTTTACATGGTCCTGTTTTTAGAGGTATTCTGATTTTTAATGGAGATTTCAAAAATGATTGCGCTTCTTATTGTAATTTTGATAAAGCTACCACCCCTTATGAGGGTCCTATTAGAAATACTAAAGATAAATTTTCTGTTGAAGAATTAGAGGTTTTCCAAGTCATCAAAAAAAAATTATAGAGAAAAAATTCAAATATTTTGTATTTCTTTATTCATAACATATCATGCTATCTTTATTTTATTTGGTTGTATTATATATAGAACTTTTTGGGTTGCAAATTACGGAATAAACTGATGGTTTAGAATTCATTTCTGCATCATATTTCGTATACCAGTTTTGTCCTTATGTTTTAAAACGCATGTAAAGTTGTATATCTGGTTTAGTGTTCTTATGAGAAAAATTTTCGTGGCATCATAATTATAAATGATTATACAATATTATATAATTCAAATAAAATTAATACTTTTGTATATTGTCAATGGAAAACGTTAAAATGTAAATTTTAACAAGAGTTGTAATATGAAGAAAACCAGTCATCGGGCTTTCAAATATTTTGCATCCAGTTTGCTGTCCAGGGAAAACCACCCTAGCAACGCCCGAAAAATCAGTTACGTACCGGAATTTAAAATTAATGACTTATCGATATATATATATATATATTCAATGAAGCAATATAATTCTTTTTTATTAACTTTACATCCATTAATTTACGATATAATAAAAATAAAAATTTTCGAAAAAAGCGTTAAAACTATCGCAAATAAAAATATTCTCCTTCTATATATAAGTGTCTAAGTTAATTTTTTTTAATAAATAATTATTTCGACAATTAGTCTGCCGACATCAGTTTTATATAGTTAGCGAAATTAATTATTGTAAGTGGCGAAATTATTGTCGAGAATATTTGAATTCTTAAATAAACTACATTAACGGTGAAATTTTTTGCAAAATCGCTTTTTTTTAAAAAAATAATTTAGACACCAATCGCGTTTAACTATTTTTTTCGCTGAGAAAAAGTTCCAAATTTCCAATAAACTTTATCACTTATAAATTATTTTTATTAATATTAAAAAATATATCCAACTCTTTCTATGACGAAGGCATTTCTATATCGAACCATTATGAAATTTTAAAATTCTAAGTTAGTTATATCCAGAGTTCGTACATAGAGATTCATTATACTGTATCCAAAGTCAACTGTATAAATAGCTTGTATAATAATAAAATAAATAAATAGTACCTTCATTGGTATTTCTTTTAATTTAATAGCTTTATCATTTGTAACCTCACATTCGTCCATACTTAAATCTATCTCGGATTCCTTATAATCACAATATTTCGCTTCGGGATTAGATAATGCGGCGGGTATATAGTTCATAAGAAATGGATGTTTATTATTGAGTTGAATCTTATTAACATATTGAAAAAAGAGTTGTCCATGTTCCTAGTGGTGGTGAAACTAAATGTTTGCGAAGAGAAACAGACTTTTAAGAATATACAAACATCAACAACACTTTTTTTAAAATCAGATTAAATAAACCTTTTTTTTTATATATTCACTTTTTTTACTTTCTTTAATGCATGTTAAGCATTCAGAACGAGTTTTTTTCACAAAAAAGTTTCTCAATTTGCAATATAAAGAGTAAAAAAAAAGGTATAATTTTTTCGCTTAAAAAATTTATTGTTGCACATATTGATTGAGTATAAATCGTAATTGATTTTTTGGGCGACACTTGGTTCGTGGGTTTTCTTTGACAATATTCATATTTAGTTTTCTTTATATATATTTTATATATATATATATATTTTATATATATATATATATATATATATTTTTTTTACTGTATCGATTTCTATTTCTAGTTCCATTAATCAACCACAGATTTTTTAATTAAAAAAAAATCCAAGTTCTTTTGAATGGCACATTAATAGACTCCGAAAAATAGAAAATTTGCATATTATAATACGTAATAGAGCCGGAATTCTTATGATAATTATTTTCTTGGGGCTATAAAAAAAAGAGTGCACTAATTAAAGGTGCTTAAAAAGAAACATGATACTAATAGGATTGGAACCGTTGAACCGATTGTCGTTTAGATAATTCAGTAATTTAAAACCGAGTGTATTACATCTTTTGTTTTTTTTTTGACCTGAATATTGTTTAGGTTTTCGAGGTTTTATATTGTATAATCGAGTATAAACAACCAGAAATGATTACTTTTGATTCAATAATCGAAAAAAAAGAATCGTTGCTTATATTTAATCAAGTACACTAAAATAATCTAGTAAAATATTGATATTTTATAATTACAGTCGTCTTCCCATAGAATCACACAGTTGGGCGCATAGTAAATTTTTTAGAAATGTGCTTATACGTATTGAGTTTTTTTCTTATAAAGTAAATCATAACATAAAATATGATTACTTATGCGATTATATGTGAGGTTACTATATGAAAAGACGATTATATATGGTTTTTTTATCGTATTTATAAATTCTATTTATACCAATAACTTTTTAAATTTAATAACTTTAATCTTAACTCTAATTCTAAACTTTAAGTATCGCCAATAAAAAAATACATGAAGATTTCAAATCCTTATTTTGTGATACCTATTTAAATTATAAAAGTTTTGAGATCACTCCGTTTCACTGACAATTATTTCATCGGCTTTTAATTCTAACTTCAAATGAGACTAACCCAACTATCGGGTATGCCTTAACTGTTGAGAAAATAGTCGTCGGAAAAATATGATTTATCGTTATATTACCTATTTCACGGTCTAAACCCCACTTGTTAAATATTTATCGGCACATACGGATATTTTTATGGTGCACACAAATGCATATTATAGTTATTTATTATGTGTAACGTTATCTATTACATATTACTACGTAGAATAATTGCAATTTTTCTATCGCTATGTAAAATGCTATGCAATCCTACAAAGGGGGTGGTTTAGATCGCGAAATATGGTATTTTTATTTGCTAATTTTATTTAATATGATTATGATAATTAATATTAAAACTAGATAGCTGCGCAACATTGTTTCCAAAACCAGGAACGCAAATATTTGAAATACGAAAAAAAAGTTTAGTATCAAATAATAATGTATTTAAATAAAATTAAAACAGTGGCTGATTTATTTGTATTTTTGGCAAATATAGGTTTTATTTGTTTAATAATAAATTCACTTTAAATGATTCAAATATCTTCTGTTATTCTGTCAAGTCCATGTTCCGCTATATCATGCCAGATAACTAGATTATTTGACAGGTATGATATATATACTAATGAAATGTTTCGTATTATGCCAAGAATCTGTCATATTATTTTAATAAAAAACCATAATAATAAGGCCATACAAACTTATATAATCGGTTTAATATCTCGGGCGGGTCAGTAGAGCGGTAATCCAAAATTTTCAAAGTTGAATCGTTAAGTCCTTGCGAAATAGTAACAGTTTCAGTTTCTAATTTCATTCTAATCTTTTTGGTATTAATCTAACGTCATATGAGTATCGCCTAATGCTAATCAGCAAGATATTGTATAATACGTAATCGAAAGCATATATACTCTAATGAAGGTCATTTTTTCAGCACTCATGTAACTTTAATCCTCCGAGCATAATCGCCAAAATCAACAGATCGTTATAATTATTAGCTAAATAAAGACAATTAAAAAACAGCATAAAGTGTGGATCTGAATGGGAGAAAAGTCAAAGAATCGGTATAAGAAAGAAAAGAAACAAAAATAATTCAGTAGAATAACAAGGTAGACTATCACACAAAGTTTTACCAAGATCAAGAGACAAAAATATAGAAAAAATGAAACAGAAAATGAAAATATAGAAGATGTATAGAGGAATACAATTAGAAAATTAATTAGTAATAACAAGAGACCTTACTGGAATGATTTCAAAGATTAGTCTGAATAGCCTTCTAGTAATGAGTATAAACTCATTTTAGTACAACAGATCATCTCTGAGCACTTATATAGTAGTTAGGAGATGTCAAACCTAAAAATTAAGTTAATATTTGTATAATTATGTATGTAATTCTCTTAATAAAGGATTCTAGCAAGGTTGTCAAAGAGTTATAAAAAAAAAAAACAATATTACAATATAAAAAAAATTATAATACAAAAGTAATACTAAAATTTAAAAAAAATTTAGAATATCAGCAAATGCTAATATGTATATATTTAAATATATTTGCTAATTCAATGTCTTTTATATTTATTATCAATAATAATAGTACTTTCTTTAGACTCTTCTTTGTACTATTATTATTTGTATTATTATTACTGACATTGCTACTACTGCTTGCAGTGACTTCTTCATCTTCTTGTTCTATTTTATTTATTTTATCATTATCATTATTATCATCATTCTTATTGTTTTTATTTTTATCTTTAAAATGATATGAAAAAGAAATTATTCAAGCAGGAACATCAACTAATGGTTTAGAATTATCAGTCTAGCTCATATTATTGTATTATCATTTTTTAATATATTTAAGATGCAAAATATTACTGTCTATTTAGTTAATAAGTTATATAATTTTTTTAATCTAATTTATATAAAATAAAAAAGTATAAAATAAAAATTTATAATTATATTAGAAGAACTGTTATTACATTATCAGTTTTTATAATATGTAGATAATAATTGAAGTTAATAATATTAGGTAATTGGATTTTCTAATATTACATACTATGCTTTAAATAAAAATCTATAATGCATATAGAAATTATTTATTTATTTTTTTTTTGGTATTAAGATGATCTCTTTGGTCTTTTGACTTTTATTAATCACTTATTGGTATTATGGTTCAATGAATCACTACAAGAGAGAGTACAATTGGATACATATATAACTTTTCTATATTACCTATTTAAGGAGTCTGCCTAAAGGTTCCCCACTAATTGCTATACCTAACACTCCTGCTTGGGTGTTCTACTTTAAACCCTCTGAATTTGTAATCTGTATTAACTCACTAGATCATACCCAGATGCTCAGATTATTATCTCAACTTTAGGACTAATTTATTCTCAAGGTAAACCTCTCAGAGCCTTCTGTACCTATTTTTACAGCTGACCTAAATATTGCTATGACAGAACCAACACTTGCGGTCAGGGCTGACCATTAAACTATTATGTTCTTGTAGAGTTCACTT